TTTGGATTTTTTTTTTTTTTTTTTTTTTTTTTTTTTTTTTTTTTTTTTTTTTTTTTTGGAGAAAAAGAGTAGATAAAAGGGATTTTGCCTTTGTCAGGTATTTACTTTTAAATATGTGCTTTTTATAATATTCCATGCTTTTGATGGGCCTTTTTTTTAATAATTAAAAATAAAAATAAAATAAATATTAAGTAAACAAAACATGACAATTTTTTTAGTACATTATTAAAATAAAATTTAAATTAGAAAAAAATAAATATTAATAAGTTGAGAAAAATTAAATAAATGAAAATTTTAAAATTAATCTATAATTTTGAATTAAAATAAATAAAATTTCATTAAATTATAAATCTAGTCCTGTAATTTAGAAAAATTAAAATTTAGTCCCACTAATTTTTAAATTTTATTCCTATAATGAATAAATTTTGTAAAAAGTCGCTACGGTTATGATCCACTAATGAATAAAGTACTAGGTAGTTAAGCTATTCACGGTTGGTGCCCTCAATGAGTTTGGACAGTAATTCAGACGAGCCTCGACCACTTTGACTTTTGGTGTGGAAAACATTTGTAATAATCTAACATCATTGCTAGTAGATATTGTTCGTTTTAGCTCATTACGTATTGTCATCAACCTCAAAGTTTTAATACACGTTTACTAGGGAGAGACAATTCACCTCTCTTGGGTGCCCATTGTCCTCGTTGACGCATCTCCCAATGTTTGGCTCTGATACCATTTGTAACTGTCCAAATCTACCATTAGCAGATATTGTCCGCTTTGGTCCATTATGTATCGACGTCAACCTCACGGATTTAAAACGCATCTACTAGAGAAAGGTTTCCACACCCTTATAACAAATACTTCGTTCTACTCTCCAATCGATATGAGATCTTACATCTCTCGTGTTTTCACCATCTAATGATTTGTTTTCAAACGCTTATCCTGACCACTATCCAAACCCATTGACCCAGGATTCATCAATTCATAATTAGTGATAAGATAAGGAATCACTTCAAGGAGAGTAAGATTCGGATTACCTTGTTGATCGAATATCTCAAGGCAAGAGCATTGTTTGAGATTCGAATCACTCCACAAGCAAGATCGACCATGTCTAACTTGAATGATTCTTGTCGATCAAATATCTCAAACAATACTCTGGACTTGAGATATTCGAAATCAAGTTTATTTATTTATTTATTAAAATAAAAATTAATTATAAAATAAATTTAGAAAAATTTAGCGATTCATATTCGAATGAGAGCGGTCCTAATTGAAAGTTACTACATACGTAAATGTGTGATGCTAGGGATAAAATATGTTGAAATGACCTGTGTTGACATGTGAGGACAATCTTCACTCTTAGAAGCGAGAAGTAGGTAACGTGACCATGTCGCAGGAGATACACGGGAATGTCGAGACCATCAAGTACTAGATCCTTATCCAAATCATGGGTATCGGTCGTTACAGTTAATGTCATTTTTTTAATCATTTTTGTACCATATATGTAAATGTTTTATGGTTCGAATACGCTTTTTTTACAACTTTTCGAATGAAAACTGATACGAGGGTTTAAGTTACAATTTGATAATTATGAAAAATTAAATGGATGTATAGTTTTTAAAGTCGATCTTTTAATATCAGAGTAGCCCATGTTATCATTTCGTCATTGCTCATTCCCGTTAGGTCTGAGTGGTTGGCCATTACTTCCCTCTACTCACTTATGCTTACTTGAACAGGAGCGTGGTAAAGAGAAGATAGTACAAAAGAATGGTAAACAGAACACGTCGCAAAATGATTCGAAATTTGAGAAATCTCTCTTAGATTCAAGAAAGAAATGAAGAACGGGAATGAAACGAAATGAGGTGTTTCTACCTCGAGTTTCATAAGCGAGGCAAGTTACAGTTTATTTTCCTCTTTCGTTGGCTTAGCAAGATAGGGAGCTGATCGACACGCTAAAATGGTATATTTTGTCTAATAGGGAATATAAGAAGACACACATAGTTGAGACAAGACAACCTCAATAATTTTGCATGTTTTTTTTTTAATTACAACTAATAATTTTATATATTTTAATTATTTCTTTCGACAAGTTCAAATATCATTAAGATTCAATGAACTCAACACAAATACTTTTTTATAAATTTTTTAATGTCTGAAATTTGGGTCGGTCAGTGCAATGTCAACGTCAGTATAGCTCAACGATAATTAATATCTATATTAGTTTGAAAGTTCAAATCTCACATCTCCACGCTTATCGTATTAAGAAAAAATAAATTATTGCTCCATATTTGATCGTGTGGTTGACAAAATTAATGATTATTTTTTTTTATTTAAGGATTTTTTGGTCGAACTCGTGAAAAACCTATATATATACACATACGATAGAATCATAGTACGCCGAGCCTTGAAAAATTGATTTATATTCATATTATCCGTAAAAAAAAAAAAAAAGTTTAGTATCTAAATTTTTATGAAAATATATATTTTTTTAATATAAAAGTTATTATTATTATTTAACCAAATTTAATAAAAATACTAAGTTTAAGATTTATGCCAAAAATAAAGTGTTAATTTGAGCATATACCAAAATAAGAATAACTAATTAATAAATAACATTTTTACAAATTAGATTAAATAAAAACTTTGGCATATTTAGAGATATTCTAAGTAAATTATTTTTTCGTGTTGATTTGGATTGTCGGGTTATTCACAATATATGTTATTTTAACAACTAAAATATAATAATATTTAAATATCGAATATTCACATGGCATATTACATCACTAATATCTGTTACAAACGTTAAATATTTTAATCTTCGTAACAATCTTAAAAGTAGTGTATGGTTGGATTGAGCCGTGAACTCTATCTTCGGGTTGAGTTTGTTAAGGATTATTGTTTACTATATATCATATTTGATCCTTTATTATAAACAAATATCTCATATTTCGTTCACTCTCATTAATCTTGAGTCTTGACTTCCTGTTCAGTCGCTTCTCTTTCTTTCATTCTCTTCTTCTTCTTCCGGTTCAGTAGTTCTATCTCATTCATCTTGAGTCTCCCTTCGTTCACTCTCATTAATCTTTCCTTAAACCTGACGAAAAAGAAGAATCAAATTCAATACGAACAAACACGTAACAAAGGGGAGGAGCGAGCGAAGACGCTTTACCTCGTTCAATCAGTTCAGGCCGGAAGATGAAAACACCTATCCTATTCTATTTACTTTGTGAAAGAGTGAACAAAGTGAAGGGAATAAAAGAAAGCTAGCTCGGCTAAGACAGAGAAGTAATGAGACCGATAGGGAGAGGAGCGAAGCAATGAGCCCGAGGTTACGAGGCGAATGAATGAGCGAAGCAACGAAACCGAGAGGGAGACTCGAAGAGTAGAAGGAGAGTGAACTTGTTTTTGAAAGCATTGAGTTGGAAGAGGAGGGAAAGAATTTGAAAGCATTGGTTAGTGCTCTTTCCCTTTATTATTCTTTCCATATCCTTGTAATTTATTTGATTATAAATAGAGAATTGTCACATCACTTAGGTCGGGCAGAAAAAAAATTAAATTACAAACCGAACAGAATTTTTGATTTTTCAACTAAAAAAAATCTAACACGACCCTGATTTAGTTAGTCCAAGTTGTTCGAGCGATTTGATTACAAAAAACACCCTATCATATAAAAGAAAATTAAACGACGGTGGTCGGTGTGATACTAGGGCGGCGTCGAATGTCGAGGAAAAGAAAATTCATCGGTGCACCTTGTTCGTTCGGAGCATAATCATTATCATTCCTTATATTATATATGATTTATAATTTCCTTTTCATGAAAAGGATAAAAAGAAAAGCTTGAAAGCAAAGTATATAATAAATACATTCTTTTTCAAAACCTATGATTTTTCTAAAAAGTGAGCTAACCATTGTGATTAAATGAGTGATGCAACACTCACTGCTCTACAACTTTTCTTTTCGTATTACTTTACGAGCTTAGATCATTGTCGATCGAACGACTCGGTGTCTGCTGAATTTGTTTGATCGAGACATTATGTATTTCTAACCGTTAGATGTTTGAATGATTTCCTCTACAATGTTAAACTCGAAAATTAGGTTATGATAGAGCTTTGTACTCCTCGTCTAATATATTGGTTCATAAACATATCAATTTGAACATACCTCAACTCGTTAAAACATTCCTCCATATTTGCCTTGAAGGTCAAATACTCAAATTTTTGCCCATACATGGGTCATTTGAAATTTTCCTTACGTGACTTATGTAACACTCGAATAAATGAGATGTAATGAATGAACCGAGATTACATATGAATGAGGGTGATTATGTGCAACAACCCAAACCCACCGTTAACAAATATTGTCCTCTTTGGGTTTTCTCTTACGAGCTCCTCTCAAAGTTTTAAAATACGTCTATTAGGGAGAGATTTCCACACCCTTATAAAAAATGCTTCGTTTTCCCCTCCAACCGATATGGGATTTCACAATCTACCCATCTTTAGGACCTAGCGTCCTCACTAGCACTTGTTCCCCTCTCCAATCGATGTGAGATCTCATAATATGAAGATATGATGATTAAGAAATGATTAAAATAATGGATAATGTGACACTCAGTAAAGATATTGAGAATTTTCCTAAGAAGCATCCTTCAATGACTAATGTTGAACTGTTGTGATAGTTTTCACTCTTAAAAACGAAACGTAAGTAACCATGTCGCAGGAGAATTTCAAGGCTATTAAGTGTCAAACCTAAGACATGGGGCTTGTCAGAGTCATTATGAGTGAGCTTGCAAAGGCAAAGCAAAGCATCTTGAAAGAACTCGTGTTAGCCAAGAGGGAGGGGTCGAGAGAGAGAGAGAGGAGAATAAAAGGAAGAAGATGATGAAGATTGACGTTGAAAATCAATGGAGGTTAGAAGAAGGGGGAAGCCATTAGAGAGCAATAGAATCTTAGCTGTATGCATCACCCCCACACTCATAACCAATCAAATTACTCTTTGATTAAACCTTTTCTCTCTCTGTTTGGGGAGAGAGAAAATGAAAGAAAAGAAAAGAAAAGAAAAGAAAAAAAAGTGCCCCACACAAATCTGCAACCCATTACTGCAAACCTGTCTCCCCCAATCTTCCTCTGTTTCTTCACTGCTCTGAGGAACAATCCCACAATGTTTGATTCCTTCTTCTTCTTCTTCTTCTTCTTGATTATATTCCCTCACTGTAAATCTTCTGAAATTTCCGCCGGTGGTCGGAGATTGCTTCACCAGCCATTTTTTCCGATTGATTCTGCTCCTCCGGCGGAGCAGCCATCGCCTCTGGTACCACCACCGCCGAATCCCAAATACCCATTTTCAACTACCCCTCCTGCAACACCTGATGGGTCACCATTCTTTCCGACGTATCCTGCAACTCCACCTCCTCCAGCGCCGGCAAGTTTAGCCTCGTTTCCGGCTAATATTTCTTCTCTGAATCTACCTCATTCGTCTGGTTACAGTTCCAAGAAGGTTGTTCCGTTGGTTATTGCTGGGGTTGTTTCCGCCGTCTTGGTAATCTGCATTGTAGGGTTTTTGTTCTGGCGGCGGCGGCGGGGTGGTCGTGGATTGGGGGATGGAAAGACGTATAGATCGGAAGATAGTAGCCGGTTGTCTCTGGTTCAGAATGTTGAAGTCGGTAATGGAATCCCTAAGTTGAGAAATCCGTCGGCTACTAGCTCTGAGTTTCTGTATTTAGGTACTCTTGTAAGCACGAGAGGGATCGACGAACGTTCCGTTGGCGGAGCTCGTGCTGTTGGTTCTAGGCCGTTGGATTCGCCGGAGCTTCATCCGCTTCCGCCGCTGAATCTAGGTCGGAATGAGAAGAAAAATCGCGAAAATGGAGAGGAGAAATCGATTGGAGATGAAGAGGAAGAGGAATTTTACTCTCCGAAAGGTTCTCTCGGCGCTATTGGATCGGGATCTCGACGAGTTCTCGCAACAATGGCGGCGGAAGATTTGCTTGGCAAAACCAGCGATTCGAGCTCGACTTCGTGTTCTACATCTAGCGGTTCCATTTCGCCGGCGAGATCATGTTCTAAGAGTCTCTCTCTATCTCCACCGGCGAGTATGAGCCCTAGGAGATCCGTTCAACATGCGGAGCAGGTTGCCCACGGCGGAGGCGAATCAGACGGCGGCGTTAAATCTCATTGTCCATCTCCAATGCGTTTAGCGACGGAGAAGAACTCCACCGCATCTTCTTCCCGGAGATTTTCAAATGCTTCAATTCTCAGTGCGATTTTCCCGAATTTATCAACCGATAAGGATTTAGTTCATCGGAATTCAGATCCAGGCGAGCAGTTTCCTTCTTCTCCTTGTTTATTTCCACTTTCAGATGGAATTTTAGGGCAAATTCAGATTCAATTGCCGATAGTTTCAAACGTTCCTGATTCGGATTCCGATGCAAAACTTAAGCAATTTCCTTACTCATTTACTTCATCTTCACCTTCATCGTCACCGGAACGAGTAGTTTTGGACTCTTCTCCGTCAACTACCTCCATTATTTCCGATCAAACCAGGTCGTCTCCACCATCACCAGAGAGAATTCTCAACCATTTTGATCAAGATGTGAAATCTTCTTCTAATGTGGCTCCTCCACCACCTCCACCACCGCCTCCGCCACCACCACCACCACCACCACTGGTAGCACTACCAGGACGCAGAGAAATGCCGATTTCTCCTAAAACACCAATGGATCAATCCATTACAAAGGCGGCTCCTCCATTAGTGCCTCCATTAAGGCCATTTCAAATGAAGAATCTGAAAAATGTATCACCAATTCAGCTGCCATCTTGCAAAAGCAATGGTGAATCATCTGTAGATACCCCCAAGCCCAAATTGAAGCCATTGCATTGGGATAAAGTAAGGGCTAGCTCTGATCGTGAGATGGTGTGGGATCAACTCAGATCAAGCTCTTTTAAGTAAGTGAAGAATCAAGAACTCATGTTTTCTCTGTTTTTCAGTTGCTTTTTTGATGAATAGTGTCTTGAAGTGTTGAGCTTCTGAGCTTACTAGAATTGATTTATGTTGTAGAGTGAATGAGGAAATGATTGAAACTCTGTTTGTTGTGAACACTTCCAACTCGAAGGAGACAACTCCACGCCCTGTGTTTCCGACACCTAACCAAGAGATCGGAGTTCTCGATCCGAAGAAGTCGCAGAACATTGCGATTGCATTACGAGCGCTTAATGTGACGATAGAAGAAGTTTGTGATGCCCTTTTAGAAGGTATGGTTAAGATTTCTTGGCTCCATGATAAAGGTTTTGCATCTTTAGATAGAATTTGTGCTATACAAACTTAGATGTTAGGGTGTAACAGCGCCCACCGCTACTAGATATTGTCCTTTTTGAGTTTTCCCTTTCGTGCTTCCCCTCAACGTTTTTAAAACGCATCTGCTACATAGAGGATCTCCCAATCCACCGGGGGCTAGCGTCCTTGTTGACACTACCCGGTGTCTGGGTCTGATATCATTTGTACCCCCCTCCAGGCTTCTTCTCAAAGTTTTTAAAATGCGTATGCTTAACACCCTTATAAGAAATGTTTCGTTTCCTTCTCCAACCGATGTGAGATCTCACAATCCACCCCTCCTTGAGGGCCCAGCGTCCTCGTTGGCACAACGCCCGGAGTCTGACTCTGATACCATTTGTAACAGCTCAAGCCCACTGCTAGCAGATATTGTCCTCTTTAGGCTTTCCATTCCGGGCTTCCCCTCAAAATTTTTAAAACGCGTCTACTAGGGAGAGGTTTCCACACCCTTAAAAGGAATGTTTCATTCCTCTCTCCAACCGATGTGGGATCTCACAATCCACCTCCCTTGGGGGCCCAACGTCCTCGTTGGCACACCACATGATGTTGGCTTTGATACCATTTGTAACAACCCAAGTTCACCACTAGCAAATATTGTCTTCTTTGTGTTTTCCTTTCCAGGCTTCCTTTCAACGTTTTTAAAACGCCTCTACTAGGTAGAGGTTTCCACACCCTTAAAAGGAATGCTTCGTTCTCCTTTCCAACTGATGTAAGATCTCACAATCCACCCCCTTGAGGCCCAACATCCTTGTTAGGATGTTGGCACACCGCTCGGTGTCTGACTCTAATACCATTTGTAACAGCCCAACCCTACTGCTAGCAGATGTTGTCCTCTTTAAACTTTTCCTTCCGGGCTTCCCCTTAAAATTTTTAAAACACGTCTACTAGGGAGAGGTTTCCACACCCTTATAAGAAATATTTCGTTCCCCTATCCAACCGACGTGGAATCTCACACATGGGCTTGCTGCATGTATATTGGCCTAATCATTTAGAAAATGGCTAATTGTTTTCGAGCTTTTAAGAGTTTTCTCCGCTTCCTTCTCTGTCGTATATGTTTTGGTCAGTAACTATCCATAAGGAAATCTACAAGTTTCTTCGATCTTCCTTAATAAAAGAACGTTTCTTTTCGGAGTATCCGATGTTTACATTCACGAGCTATGTTGTCAAGTCGATAAACATCTCTATTCTGTCGAATCCCGATCGAAAAGTGAGTATAAGAGCTTGAATGATATGAATGCAGGTAATGCAGAAGCACTTGGAATAGAGCTACTTGAAAGCTTATTGAAAATGGCTCCAACAAAAGAAGAAGAACGCAAGCTAAAGGCATCAAAGGATGTCTCACCTACAAAATTTGGCCCAGCTGAGAAGTTTTTGAAGGCAATCCTTGATGTTCCTTTTGCATTCAAAAGGGTGGATGCAATGCTTTACATGGCAAACTTCGAGTCCGAGATCGAGTACCTAAAGAAATCATTCGAAAATCTCGAGGTACGTAAGTCATATAACCCCGTCGACCCGTCTCGAGAATTACTGAATCTGTGATGATCTGATAGTTATAAAACGCCTATTCGTTTTCTCAAATTGCAGACTGCTTGTGAAGAATTGAGGAACAGCAGGATGTTCTTGAAACTTTTAGAAGCTGTTCTCAAGACAGGGAATCGTATGAACGTTGGCACGAACCGTGGCGATGCCCACGCGTTCAAACTCGACACGCTTTTAAAGCTTGTTGATGTCAAGGGTGCAGATGGAAAAACCACTCTTCTACATTTCGTCGTACAAGAAATCATAAGAAGCGAAGGTGCTCGTCTTTACAACACGAGTTCTCCAAACTCGAACCCGAATGACGATATCAAATGCAGGAAGCTCGGTCTGCAAGTTGTTTCTAGTCTCAGCTCAGAGCTCACCAACGTAAAGAAGGCTGCTTCGATGGATTCCGACGTGCTCAATGGTGAGGTTGTTAAGCTTTCGAGAGGACTCAACAATATTAGGGATTCTCTACGTCTTAACGAAGCAGATGGACGAAACGATAGCACGGAAAAGTTCTCATACTCGATGAGTAGATTCTTGAAAATGGCAGAAGAGGAACTGATTAGAATCCAAGCTCAGGAAAGTGTTGCATTATCTCTAGTAAAGGAGATCACTGAGTACTTCCATGGCAACTCTGCCAAGGAAGAAGCTCATCCATTTCGGATTTTCATGGTGGTTCGAGATTTCCTAACGGTTCTGGACGGAGTATGCAAAGAAGTCGGGACGATAAACGAGCGGACGATCGTGAGTTCGGCTCATAAATTCCCGGTTCCGGTAAATCCAACATTACCACAAGCATTTCAAGCTCATCATAGAGTGCAGAAATACAGTTCTTCTGATGAAGAATGAACATTGTTTTAGGTGTGTTTTGTTGCTAGAAAATTATGCTCCTCAATTTCTAGTTGTGTAAATCCCATGTAAAAGATTTTGAATTGAGTTCATGTAGAAGATATATATATATATAAAGAAATGATATAATACCAAGTGAAATGAAGCCAAGTTCCTATATAACCTTCTTTCTTTCTTCCTTCCACGGGACGGTATAGTTAAATGGACGTTAATGTGACAATTGATAGGTAAACGTTAAAAGACGTGTAACGACTCAACGTCTGCTAAGGATAAATTTCCACACTTTTATAAAAAATATGTCGTTCTCTTCTCCAACTGAAGTGGGATTTCACAATACACCCTCTTTCGGGGCCCAGCGTCCTTGGCTGGCACACTGCCTAGTGTCCACTCCCTTCAGAGCTCACCCTCTTTGAATTTTCTCTTTCGGGCTTCTCCTCAAGGTTTTTAAAACACGTTTGTTACAGAGAGATTTCGACACCCTTATAAAAAATGTTTTGTTTTCCTCCTTAATTGATGTGGGATCTCAGAATACACCCTCTTTCAAGGCCTAGCATCATCGTTGACATCCGTTTCCTTCTCCTATCGATGTGGGACCCACCAATCCACACTCCTTCAAGGCCCAGCGTCCTTGTTGGCACACCGTCTCGTATTTACCCCCTTCAAGGCTCAACCTCCTCTCTAACCCATCGCACGGTGCCTACCTCTAATACCATTTGTAATGCCCCAAGCCCATCACTAGCGGATACTATTCACTTTAGCCTTTTCCATTCGGGGTTCCCCTCAAGGTTTTTTAAATGTGTCTGGGAGGGAGAGTTTCCACACCCTTATCAACCGACCGAGGTGGGATCTCACACGACGTAAATGATATAATTTTAGTAATAAAAAAGATTGTGATCAAAGATGTCTATTTACCTGCGGGAACCAGCCTAGGAGAACATTTTTTCCCCTTTAGATAAATGGTGTCGGAGATGAAATTATATTTCCGACCCCGATAAAATATGACAAAAGAAAAAAAACAAAGAAACTTCGAGAGTATAAAACGTTTTAAACTCAAAATTGGATGAAATCGAAAATGTACATAATTCATTTAACAAGTGTGGGGTCAGAAAGTCATCTTTCCCAACGTACCACAAAAAAACAAAAAGAATATTTGAACCTCTTAAAATACATAATAATAATAATAACAAAATAACAATAAACAAAGAAAAATTCAATTTCGAACACTTCACCTTTAAACTTAGCCTCACGGATAATTTCATTACCCTCACGAGCAATCACGTCCCTCATTACGAGCTTATACACATACTTCTAGAGCTATTCGGTTAGCTACGACACCTTGTGCATTACTCTAAGGGTGCCTCAAAGTTCATCCGCCAAATCTAAAAAATTCTCAGTTAGAGTAGACATCTTGAGTATTTTACCCGACAATCTAACCTGACCAAACCCGAAAAAACTCTATTTTTATTGCAACCCGATCTAAATAATTGTCTTATTCACAATTTATGACGTAATCAGTCTACTCTAGTCTTGAAATCTCCTCCATCTCTATTATATCCACAAACAATTCTCATTGTATCCCATTCATATAGACCTCAAGATTCTGAAAGAGAGAGAAAAGCTTCGGGCCCATTTCCATGGCGGACGGAGAGTGCAAAACCGGCAACAATGCCAAAAAAGTTAATCTTCTGGTGGTTACATACCCAGCTCAAGGTCACATAAATCCCCTTTTACAATTCTCCAAACGTCTCCATCACAAGGGCGCCGCCGTGACCTTCGTCGTCACCAAATTCCTTTTCAACAACCAACCCAACTCCGACCACCCTCCGCCGTTCCCCGTCGAGACCATCTCCGACGGCCACGACGCCGGAGGATTTCTCTCCGCCGTTTCCATCTCCGACTACCACGACCGCCTCAAGCACGACGGGTCACAGACTCTCCGGGATCTGATACGGCGGAAGGAGAACGCCGGCCGCCGCTTCGACGCCGTGGTGTACGACGGATTTATGCCGTGGGTTTTGGATGTGGGGAAGGAATTTGGGCTGAGGACGGTGGCGTATTTCACACAGTCCTGTGCTGTGAATAACATTTATTACCATGTTTACAGGGGAGAAATTAAGGCGCCGGTGGTGGCGGCCGAGGAGGAGATTCGGATCGCCGGAATGCCGCCGCTGACGATGGCCGATATGCCGTCGCTTGTCCAGGTTGGGAACCCATATCCGGTATTCTCCGATCTGGTGATTAATCAGTTTGGAAACGTGGAGGAAGCCGATTGGTTAATCTGCAACAGTTTCTACGAACTAGAACACCAGGTTTGTTTCATATCTTGCTTTCTAGCTTGCATATCCGAATTTGGGCTTTGATAACATTTGTAACAGTTCACTTCAAATTTTTGATCGGTTACATAACACGCATTAACTTAAAGAGAAATTTCTATATCATTAGAATGATCAGTTCTCCTCTCCAACCGACTTGGGATCTCACAATCCATTTTTGGGCAATTTCCCACCTCCTGTTTCAATCTCCTCTTTATCTCTCCCAAAATTTTCATATATTTCAAAAAACTTATTTTTGCGGGAACGGAGACAGGAAAATAAGAGAATGGTCACTGACTAGGCTGACTAGACAACACTACACAGGTGAATGGTCACTGACTAGGCTGACCAGACAACACTACACAGGTGAATGGTCACTGACTAGGCTGACCAGACAACACTACACAGGTGAATGGTCACTGATCAATCGAGCCCAAATCTAAATAGACGTAAAAACATTTAAAAATCAGAGACATGTAAGAGCATTCAGAAGACTTCAAACCTAAAAATCTCTTTACGACTCTTAGAATCAAAGACCAAGATGTTACAAAATCTCGGCTATGAAGGCAGATCTTGAAGACTTATGTACAAACATATATATATAAAGAACACAATTGCTTTTCCTTCATTCACTTACTCATTCCCTTTTGTTTTTTGGGGCAAGGTTTCAGGTGCTAGAAGGGATGGAGAATAAATGGAACATGAAGCCGATCGGACCAAACATACCATCGTTCTACACTGATAAACGAATAGACAATGATAGAGACTACGGGTTCAACCTTTTCAAAATGAACAATGAGGTTTGCCAAAAATGGCTAGACGCCCGTCCAAAAGCGGCAGTAGTTTTTGTAGCGTTCGGGAGCTATGCAGCTTTGAGCGTCGAGCAAATGGAGGAATTGGCTTGGGGTTTGACACAAACCAATTTCTTTTTCTTGTGGGTGGCAAGTCTTACACTAACCTTCCATAGATTTATTTAGTTCTTCCTCGTTCATAACATGTAGATAAAAATTTAAACTTATGACGATTTAGTCAAAAGTATAAGGCATTGACCCGGCATTGACCCGGCATTGACCCGACATTGACCCGTTTAAGAAATAGCAACATAAATAGAAATACAAGCCTCCGAGTCTAAAAAAAAATTGTTATCTATTTCCCGATTTTAAATTTTTTTAAAGAATTTATTAGACATTAAATTAAAAAAAATGAAATAAAATTAGGTCTAAAGTTAACGTACCGGTTGAACAGGTAAGGGAGACAGAGGCGGCGAAGATTCCGGCGAAATTTGCAGAGGCGATGGCAGACAGAGGGCTATTGGTCCCTTGGTGCCGTCAATTGGATGTTTTATCACACGAATCGATCGGTTGCTTTGTGACGCACTGTGGCTGGAACTCGACGCTGGAGGCTCTGACCATCGGCGTTCCCATGGTGGCGATGCCGCAGTGGACAGATCAAACCACCAATGCCAAGTTTGTAACGGACATTTGGAAGACCGGAGTTAGGGCTCCGCTCGACGATGCCGGAATAGTGCGGCGGACAACGGTTGCAGATTGCATCTTGAAGGTCATGGATGACGACGGAGGAACGGAGATTCGGAAAAATGCCGCTAAATGGGAAGAGTTAGCGAAACGGGCGGTGGATCGCGACGGAAGTTCCGATCGTACTGTTGATGAGATTCTTGCCCAATTGGTTTCTGTTTAAATATATATATATATATATATATATATATTATTTTGGGTTTGTTGATACACACAATAATTAGTAATTGTATGTATGATGACACCTGTCCCGTGGCTTTTAAGTGTTTTTGTGCATGATGACACCTTTCCCGTAGCCCTTCATGTGTTTTTGTGTATGATGACACTTGTCTCGTAGCCCTTCATGTGTTTTTATGTATGATGACACTTGTCTCGTTGCCCTTCATGTGTTTTTATGTATGATAACACTTGTCTCGTGGCCCTTTAAGTGTTTTTGTGTATGATGACATCTGTCCCGTAGCCCTTCATGTGTTTTTGTGTATGATGAAACCTGTCTCGTGGCCCTTCATGTGTTTTTGTGTATGATGAAACCTGTCCCGTGGCCCTTCATGTGTTTTTGTGTATGATGACACCTGTCCCGTGGCCCTTCATGTGTTTTTGTGTATGATGACACCTGTCCCGTGGCCCTTCATGTGTTTTTATGTATGATGACACCTATCCCGTAGCCCTTCATGTGCTTTTGTGTATGATGACACCTGTCTCGTGGCCCTTCATGTGTTTTTGTGTATGATGACCCTTGTCCCGTAGCCCTTCATGTGTTTTTGTGTATGATGATACTTGTCTCGTTGCCCTTCATGTGTTTTTATGTATGATGACACTTGTCTCGTGGCCCTTCAAGTGTTTTTGTGTATGATGATACTTGTCTCGTTGCCCTTCATGTGTTTTTATGTATGATGACACTTGTCTCGTGGCCCTTCAAGTGTTTTTGTGTATGATGACACCTGTCCCGTAGCCCTTCATGTGTTTTTGTGTATGATGATACTTGTCTCGTTGCCCTTCATGTGTTTTTATGTATGATGACACTTGTCTCGTGGCCCTTCAAGTGTTTTTGTGTATGATGATACTTGTCTCGTTGCCCTTCATGTGTTTTTATGTATGATGACACTTGTCTCGTGGCCCTTCAAGTGTTTTTGTGTATGATGACACCTGTCCCGCAACCCTTCATATGTTTTTGTGTATGATGACACGTGTCTCGTGGCCCTTCATGTGTTTTTGTGTATGATGACTTTTGTCCCGTGGCCCTTCCTGTGTCAAATATTATGTTATGTTATGGTGGACCCTACATGAGTTGAATATTATGTTATGTTGTGGTGGCCCTACATGAGAACATTGTTTTATGATATGTTATGTGATGTTATATTATGATATGATAAATCATAAATATGTTGTATGATGCTAAGCTACGATAAGCTATGTTGCGTAATGTTGTCCTATGCTATGTCAAGCGAGTTATACTATGTCATGTTATGTTACACCATGACAAGCTATGTTATGTTATGATAAGCTACATTATTATATGATCATGCTATGATGTATGATGCCTGAGAACCGTACAAACTTATACTACTCAACCCAAGATTTAAAGGGTGGGACTTGTAGTCAAGCTCCCTTCTGCCTTTTGACCTTTGCACTCAAAAGACGGGTTATTCATATTTCATTTGATGGTCAGAGACAAATTGAAAGCTAAGCCGTGGTAATTCTATGACTTTCTTGATTACAACAACAAGAACGTCACTAATATGAGCATATTGAAAGAAGAGCTACTATTTGAATTATGCAATTAGTAGGACATGGAGGAATAACCTCGAACGACCTTCAACAAAAGGGTACATGTTCCCGAAACTAGATTGGTCTATTTCTTGCATGTACCCATTGAAGTTTTTTGGGTTGGATTGAATTTTTTAAAATTCGAAAATTCAAGTTGGTCATTAAAGTTAACTTTTTTTTTTTCTCGGGTCAACACAATTGACCCAAAAATAGGGTGTAACGGATGTTAATGATACTCTGTGACTTGTGAATATTTGATATTTGAATTTTACGATACTTTAGTTATTACGATAACTTACAACCCAACAGAGGGTTGGGTTGAGTTGTGAACTTTATTCGGGTTGCTTGAGTCACCAACCCAACCAACCCTAAATTTCAGCTTGGTTGAGTGGTAACTCGAATAACCTGAATAGGGTTCACAACTCAACCTTACTCAAACTCTCTGTCTTCGAGTTGAGTTGGATTGAAACGTTGGGTTGTTTGTTTTTTAATTATTTAAAAAACTATACTTATCCACACTCCATGATACATTAATAACTCAAATATAAAACATTCAAAAGTCACAAAACATCACTAATATAAATTACAAACAATATAATATCGTGAGATGGTGCTCTGTGGTTCTGAATCGATATGACTATAATATGTTATGTATGTATTATGATATGTGAACGATATGATAACTCTTACGTTATGATGTGTTCAATGATATGTGTGAATGTAATGATATTAATAAGATATGATTGATATAACGATACAGTTCGGTTATGTATAGAAAATGATATGATTATGATAGATTGATAGAACGATATGGTTAGGATACCTCCCTGTAACGGTATGACTAGGATACATTCATGAAACGATATGATTAGGATACGTTCCTGTAACGACAAAACTAGGATACGTTCATGACATGATATGATTTATGATATGTTGGGAAACAATATGACTATGAGGATATGGTCATGATAGATTGATAAAACGATACGATAAAGTTATGTATAGAAAATGTTATGGTGCTGATAAATTAATAAAACGATACGATAAGGTTAGGTATAGAAAAACGTTATGGTCAGGGTATACTGATAAAACGATACGATAAGGTTATATAGAGAAAACACTATGGTTATAGAAAAATGTTATGATTATGATAGATTGATAAAACGATACAACAATGTTATGTATCGTAAAGAATATGGTTATGATGGATAAATCTACCACCGGCCAACTACTCGTGCCACCACTGTACTCTTCAAGAAAATCAACCACCATCTCGGAAAGGCATTCGTCGGCCGAGTATTTGCTTTCGCTGACGGAGCTGGACGGCGGATACTGACGCTGGTCACCACTTCCGATGAGGCGTTGAAGAGCCGACATTATTATTGTTTTATGGATTTGGTTTGGTCGGAGGAATAATTTAAGGAATATGTCGGAATGGACTGAATTTTTGAAGAAAGGAATTGAAAAGGGAATATTCTTTTATTTCTATAAAGAGAGGATATACTAATGGGATAGCATCTAACTCGATCATTCAAATGAATTAAATTACGAGTTTAGTTTCTGAACTATTCGGGTTTATATAAATTTGGTTAAATTCGATCGAGTTTTTGAAAAATCGAAAAATTCAATTTGGTTTGCAAATTCGAACTTTTTTTTGTCCGATCAATCCAACTAACTCGAAAATAGGGTTCATAGTCGGTGTTTGAGATTATTATAAAAATTAAGAATATTTGAGGTTGAAATAATTAAAAAACAAACCATCCGACGTTCCAACCCAACTCAACTCCACTCGAAAATAGAGGCTTTGGGTAAGGTTGAGCTGTGAACCTTATTCAGGTCATTCGGCTCACCAACTCAATCGGCATGAAATTTCAGGTTGGGTTGATGACTCGAGCAACCCGAATAGAGTTCACAACCTAAACCTCTATTTTTGGGTTGGGTTTTCACGTTATTTTTTAAAAAATTAATTTAGAAAAAACTTTACTTATCTACTTAGGTGAGTAACTAGAATGGATTAAAATTTAAATATCAAATATTCACGAGTCACAAAATATCACTAATATCTTACAAAATTCAAATATTTTTAAACTTGGTAATAATCTTAAAAGTAAGATGTGGTTGAGTTGTAACCCAATTTTTGGGTTGATTGGGTTGACTCGACAAAAAAATGTTAACTTACAAATCAACGTCAGTTCTAGAATTTTCAAGACTTCAACCCAACCCAAAAAACTTCAATTGATACACCAGGAAATGGGCCAATTCGACTTCATGTACAAGTACCCTTTGTCGAAGGTCGTTCGAGGTTGTTCCTCGTGTCCTACTACTTGCGTATGCCATAGAGTATCTCTTTCCTTCTTTCGGTATTCTCATATTGGCGACGTTATTGTTACTTTAATCGAGAAAGTCGTAGAATTGCCACTACTTAGCTTTCAATTTGCCTCTGACCATCAAATGAAATGTGAATAACCCGTCCTTCAAGTACAAAGGCAGAAGGGAGCTTGATTAAGTAGTCTGAGGTGGTCGGGTTCTCGGGCTATATAAACACCCCTCATCCTTTTTTTTGTTAATAAATAAATAGTTTTAATATCCATTGAGCTATGCATTAGTCATTAATATTAATAATTCACAAAACCAAAAACAAAATTGGTTGAATTTATCCATTTTTAGATGTGACTCTTCCTCCACAAAATTATCTCTAAATTTAACTATTTACTAAATTTAGGAATTTTCTCCTAAATTTATCATTTAAAAAACATATAAATAGGAAAAGAAATGGAAAAAAATACAAATCATCTGCAGCTCATCAAAAATAAATAAATAAAATAAATTTTCTTTTTAGAAATTTAGATGAAGTTGTGGATGGTATGCTTAGTTTTCATTAGTATGGTGGTGATGGCCCGAGGAGATGACGACGAGAGTAAATCCATTGAGTTTTTGAATTGCAATCAACCAATGCCTCCTCCGGCTTGCCTTAAAATAACACATAAGAGATTTTCCCGCCCTCCCCTAAATGATGATCGTGGTTGCAACGCAATTACGCGTTGTCGTGGAGGAATTGGTTCGGGTAGTCCACCACCGCACATTTGATTACCTTTTGTCGATCATGTAATCGCAAAACTAATGGTAATTGTATTTATGTATTTGCTCCATTGTATTACTTAATAATAATATACCTCATTATCACGAGTTTCACCTCTTTATTTCGAATTTTTTAGTTTTTTTCATTTTACATTTCACCTATTTATCCTAGAACCGTTTCGTTCTCTCTCTCTCTCGCTCTCTGTCGAAGGGTGACGAACCGTTTCGTTCTCTCTCTCTCTCGCTCTCTGTCGAAGGGTGACGAACCGTTTCGTTCTCTCTCTCTCTCGCTCTCTGTCGAAGGGTGACGAA